ACTGCACTGAAGCAGATGAGGGAGAAAACTGTTTAAAAAGGATATGTGATTAGGTATTTTTGTCATGACAGGAGTCTAGAGCAAAGGCTGCATAGTGGAGTGGACCTTGGGGGAGAGATTGTAGAACAATGAAAGAATTTTTCTTTTACTTTCCCAAGAGGGTAGTGGACTAGCGGAGAGGGTTGGGAGGGGAGAAAAGTGCAACAATGAATGAATGGAAATAAAAAAGAGACTCAGAGTAAATAAACCAGGTTCATGGCTTCCTACCTGCTCAGGCCGGCTTTCCTGTCTTGGTGTGAGATGAGTGAATTTCACCATCTGTCCTTGAAGTTATATACCTCTGCAAGTGTTTGAAACAAGGCATCTCTTGGAGGCTCAAACCTCTTTTACCTTAATTACAAATGGCCTCTTACAGACTATTTCTCTGAGCCTTGAAAGTGCAATCTCACAGACTCAGTGTCGTAGAAGTGGAGCTAATTTACTGTGTTTCCAAAGCTGTCAATCACCTGTAAGGGCTTTTTTGCCTTCATATTTTCTGACCAGTACATTAGTACCCCAGCCTTTCCAAGGGTAGATAGGCTGTGTGGACAGCAGCACTGATTTACGTGACGGAAGCCCAAAATCTACCCTGGTCTTTGCTTACTCAACATTCTTTTATGTACAACTGTGTGTTTCAGGTGTCCAGTGTGGTACAAGACGAACGAGTCCAGTGCAGAGAGCTGAGGACCAAGAAGGACCGTCGAACATTTCTGTAAAGTCCGAGGAAGGATTTCAGCCCCTGTGACGGGAGGGTGGACCAAAAATTAATCCTCTGTGTCCAGATGACCTTGTGTTCTTCTCCCAGTGTGAACATTCCTCCTGAAGTAATACCTGCATGGGCAAAGACGTTCTTCTAGAACTGCACAGAGGGGAGCAAGGAAATGGTGAGTCCTAGAGAAAAGCTCTTTCAACCTTCAATTGATGGTATTGGATAGAAGCTCTTGGGGACTCCTTACGTTCGATAGGCCTGCAGTTTTCGGGTGATGAGAACGGGTGAAAGAGGAGACTCCTGGACTAAAACTCGGAGGCCCCCTAACTTCCTGCTCCCTGAATACTCAGCCCTTTTTCTATGCACATTTTCTCATGATTGGGATGCTTCGGGTCACCCTCTCTATAGGCCCATACACCTGGGAGCTGCTATTCCCAACCTGGGCCTCCATTCTCCAGGTTGAATGACAAAATCTTCAGATCAGAAGCTGAACATGGTCGAGCACAACCTTATCTGTGATTTTCACATGCTCTTTAATATCTGGGCTTCTCTGTTTGTTTTACTTTTACCCCTGTGAAGTGTCCTGTGTATTTTGTTGTCAGACCTTCAGATGTGTGTGTGAGAAGAGCTCCTCACCCGTCTCTTCCTCCACATGCCCAGACTTGGTGTTTGCTCTGTGTTCTTGTGTATTCTTCATCCTCTGCCGTGGACGGTCTGCAGCAGTCGTGCGGAAGCACTGGTCCTCCTAAACCAAAGCGGACTCTTCTCTGGTCATTGCCATCCCGCAGAGGTTCAGTGAGTGAGTGAATGACGGACATTCGTTGCCAGTGCGCCTCTCAGCCTCGGAAAACATAATGCACTGTGATTATTTCCTGCTGGATTGCAATAACTTCATGCGTGTTGGATTCTCACATGACTATGGAAATGTGAAATTCCCTTTTGTTGTACGAGCTACACATCCGAGCTATGCAGAGTTCAGTTCTGGGGATACTGTTTGGAGTGACGTTCACTTTCTAGATGATTTGGTCTCTTTTTAGAGAGGCTGTTTTCCCGGGCGCCCTGGACATCTTCTTACTTTTTGCCCCATTTCCAGCTGTGTCTGTGAACTCATGTTGTCCTTACTTTTCCTCAGTGTTCTGCCAACATCAGCCAAACCATGACCGGTGTTTCAGGTGCCGTGGGAATGTGATGTTGGCTTTAGGGATACTTTTGGGAGCTTTGGCTTCTGGACTCGAGGATGGCTTCTCTCCGTGCCCAGAACATTCCCCTGTCTGTTCTTCATACCCACTTTTGCCAGTTGTCCAGTCTCCGGGCGTCTTTGCGGAGAGCTGTGAGCCCCCTTGTTGGGGCCTCTGAGCCTTCGCCCTGGCTCTTCCCCGTCCAGGTAGAACTTGCCTGCACCTGCCTCCCTCATTTCCCGCAGGTCTTTATTCTCTTGTTTGCTCCGTGACCTACACACAGCGTTCCCTGTCTGTGATCCGGTTCTGCAGAAGCAGAACCAGTAACATATACACGTGTCTGTGTGCATTTCCCTGTGTGTGCATTAATTTGGCTGGGCCGTGAATTTCTGTGATTCGGTAATAATAATATTAGACGGTGAAATTGTTGACAACTTGAGTCTTTTTTCATCTAGTAGGTTGCTGTCGGTCCATTGGTGAAGATTTTTGTTTTCTTGATGTGGAAATAGACATATTTAAGGCTGTAGTTGTTGATCTTCTGCATAATTTTTTTCAAATCTTCCTCCCTTGGAGCAAGCAGAGTTGTGTCCTCTGCATAATGCACATTGTTGATAAGTCTTCCTGGGATCCTGATGCTACAATCTGCTTAATAGAGTTTGCCTTCTTCAAGGACTTGCTTGACATAGAGACTGATTAGATGTGAGGAAAGGACAGAGCCCCCCTGTTTGTGGTGTGTTTCTTTTAAATTTTTAAACCATGCCGTGTTCCTGTGCTCTGTTCGGACAACTTCATGTTCCAAGTATAGGTTTTGCATGAGCATAATTATGTGTTCTGGGATTCCTGGGTTGTGTATCTGTGAAGACAAGCCTTGATAATCTACTTCTGTGAAGACAAGACTTGATAATCTACTCCTGTGAAGACAAGACTTGATAATCTACTTCTGATAAGATGAAAGTGACTGCCAGTGAGTTGATTCTGACTCATGACACCCCATGGGCACCCATGGTGGGTGGACAGTGGTGGCTGGAGCTTCCCGACTAAATCAAGCGTGGAAGCAGGAGCGGCGTCCACTTCCACAATGGCTTGTCTCCGGAAACTCTATGTACAAACAGTGCTCAGGCCGTTTGTAGGGTCGCTATGAGTCGTATAGGACTCCATCAAACAACAACAACAAACAATTATAGGAGTATTTTTCTGATCTGTGCTGGTTAAGATAGTAAGAAGTTACACTTAGTTCCCTAGTCACACGAGGTCATCATGTCCCTGTGACAGGGGAGTACTTCCTCCTGCTTTCCCTGTGTCCTGTAGATTTTGTGCACTCTTCTCAGACAGCTTTTCAAAGATCAAAAGAGATGGAAATGCCAAGAATGACGGGGAAGAGAGACTGAAGCAGGGAGCAAACAGCTCAAAGGCTAAATCTCTTCCAAGCTTATTAAGAATGGCCATTAAGTAAACCGCAGAAAGAAATCTTTGCTAATCAAGCTACCTTTTTCCTCTGCTGACATTCTTTGCTTATCTCAGGAACAGAGTAATTTAGAAGCACAAGCTCTTGGCACTTTCTTTGCAAAGTGGGCCTGGGCGTCTCCTGGTCTGCAAGGAACACCTCATTCCTTGTGATCAGTTGTAGGAGGATTTGCACCTTGTTTAGTGCCTCACTCAGTTCCTGTGTAAGCACTGCCTTTAACATTACTGTTCCCACATTTCTCCTTTTGCTTTTATTATTGTTTTGTCATACGGACAAACATACCTGCTTTTCTTCTTTGAATCATTCTTATTTTTGTTCTCTCTTCCTTTCTCCATAAACAAAAAAACACACAACCAATTAGACCAAATAAGATTACAGAAATACTTCCCAAAATCTTGACATGATGGTGGGGGTGGGGAGCAGAGGTGGGCAGGAAGAAAAATGCAACAGTGAATGAAAGGAAATCCAAAATCACTAAATGGAAATCCAAAATCTCTAAATGTTCATGAAAATGAATAAAAAATTAAAAAAAAAAATCTTACATGATCAAAAGGGTGCTGATTAGATATACCTTCACTTCTTCTTGCAAAATATCCATGTTCGGGAGCTCTGGTGGCCTAGTGGCAAGGAGCTGCAACTATAATCCCAGAGGGAAACGGTTCGAATCCACCAGATGCTCTGCCGGGGAAGGAGGGACAATCTCCTCCTGGACCAGTCACTTCTGATTTGACGGTACATGCACACAAAAATAATAAAAAATAAAAATAAAAAAAAAAAATCCATGTTCTTAAATCCATCCAGTTGTTTATTAAAAGTAGACTCACTCTGAGCCTGTAAATATGTCATCTGTAAGATTACTATGATTCATAAACTGTTTCTTAACCTTATCCCAATTCCATTCAGTATTATTCCACTGTGCTGGAGTAACACAAAACTGTGTCGTATTCCAATCACATTAAAATTTTAGTTGTCTTTGTGAACTAATAATGCAATCTCCCGTCAGTATTAGTGATTGTTCCAGATCTGTTGATCGGGTCTTAACTTGTGAACGTGTTTGCCTTTGAGAAGACCATGACTTTTCCAAATCGTTTTCTCATCATCTACAGTTGGATGTCTTTGAGGTAAAGCCACACAAACCGTGGCAGCACCAGCAATAATGGCAGTAATTCCCAGAATTGCTGTAATGATAATGCTAATTAATTGCTTCCTCTTTTTAATAATTACGTTATTAAATGTTTTCAAATCATACTTTCCGGAGATGATTGCCATTCTCTGTCTTATCGTACAGCAATCATAATCCAATTGGGATCTCAACATGTAAATAATAAAAGAATTTATTCAAAATATTCAAAATAAAGAACCATTTGAACAGTAAGTCAAATTGGTACAATCCCATCAAGTTGGACCTTTCAAAAATACTAACGGGAGCACTGGTGGCCCTCGTGGTAAGAATCGACACTGCAAATTCCAGAGGTGAGCAGTTTGAATCCACCAGATGCTCTAAAGAAGGGCAGTCTCCTCCTGTAGCAGTCAGATCTGATTTGATGGTACACACAAATATTTAAGGTAATGAAAGACAAGCTTGAATATAATTGGTTTAGTCTCTTTTAAATTTAAGACTAGTAACATGGTTAGTATGACTATGTGAATACTTTCCAATCCCAAAAAGATACACGTTTCAATACGGTTCTTACTTTCCATAAATGTGTGGGGTAAGAAAAATGCTGTAAACGTGGGTCCCGTTCCACCATTCCTCCTCCAAGCCATGATACGGTTTAATTAGCATTCATAGCTATTACAGGTCCATTGGCTTCTTTATACCGTTTGAGCTTCTCAGTTGTTCTATGCTGACGAACGTTGGAACCTACAGGGCTCCAGTCCATGATGCTTCCATAGGAAGTAGTAATGAAAACTCATCTTGGCCCTATTCAACATTGTCTACAATACATCCTTTCTCTAATGAAAGATAAAGACGCAAAATGCCAGGGAGGAACATTAGGAAAACCTGAAGTTACGGAACTGGTGTTTCCATGAAAACCATATGCTTAGAAAATAGTGAGAGGAATCATTACCTAAAACTTTATCCATCCATGCCTGAGCTTGTAAACAATGGGATTCCTGTCCAATGCATATGGGAAAATACCAGTTTCTATACTGTAATTGAAAATAGTGATTCCTTCTTCATTAGATTTAGGGGTCCCCAGTTATCATGGGGACCTGGAAGCCACTGACTGTCATGCTTTTGAATAGGTACAAGATCATCAAACCAATGAAGTGCTTGTAATAAAGAACGAATAGGGATACATGCCTTGTCTGATGGATAGAATAGTGATTTTTTTCCTTTGTTTTATTTGTGTGATGGATTACATCTTGAACCATCCTTGCCTTCCTGGTATGAATCCAACTTTCTCAGCATGAATTATTACATGCTACTAGCTAGGATTTGTTTTTTCCATTTTCTTTTTTAATTTCTTATTAATTTCAATGAAAATTTACAGAGACTTTGGATTTCCATGCATTCATTTTTGCACTTTTCTCCCCTCCCAACCCTCCCTCCTAGTACACCGCCCTCTTGGAAAAGGAAAAGAAAAA